ATAGCCAGGTGGTTAGGGCGCTCGACTCGCAGTCTGCGGGTTCGAATCCCCGTCACGCCAAACATGCTCGCCCTTTCAGCCTTGGGAGCGTTATAATGTGACGGTCAATCCCACTATTCATTGGTAAAAGAGTAGCCCAAGAGTTAGCAGTGGGTGGTGATGACTAGCTGCCTTCCCTCTTGTCTTACACTGCTAAATTAGGGATGGCTAGCGCAGATAGCCCTCATGTAGCTTTGCGCGAAATTCATAACAAACAAACCATACATGCATTACACAAGTAAATTCTTAAAGTGTAATATTCTTTGAGCGGCCTAGTGGTTAGTTTTGCTGAGCGCGCTTAAAACTTTTAGTTGTGACTGCGTTATAATAGTAACAGTCAATCCTGTTAACTAATGTGACGTGGAATGCATACAGCGACTCATTGATATACCAGTATATATTAAAACTTCGCCGGCCTTTTGTAAGTTACAAAACAATATTTAACATCTCATAATTTATTGATATACTGATACTTTTCAGAACTTCATTGACTTCTTACCATGATTACCAGTCTTTATTTTCCAAGGTATCACATAATACACGAAAGTTCAAATGTAAAAAGTCTTATATTATTTTTTTCTATTGGGACTAGAACCTAATAGGTTGTTGTTATCGCTATCAACGATGTTTACTATGAAGTGTGTTATCAGTTTTTTACTTTTACTTCTACTGTAGTTGAAACGTTCGATTAAACAAACACACGTTGTTGTAGAAGTAGATTAAACACCTGGAATACGAAATTAATACGTCATTGTTTACAGTGCTTTCCATATCAGCGATTTTTTGAGTTTTTCCTGCTGGTAAGGGACTCCACGATAGAATAATTATAAATAACATATTACAACTATTCCCAGTGGCACAGCAGTATGTATGCGGACTTCCAACGCTAGAATCCGGGTTTCGATACCTGTGGTTGGCAGAGCACAGATAGCCCATTGTGTAGCTTTGTACTTAATTACAAACACACTAAAGCTCCACGAGTGTGAGAAAGTGAAGATGTCTTTTGTTTTAATAAAAAGAAAGTGTATGATTTTAGGTTTATTGATGATTGATTGTCTATCCTATTGAGAATTCAGAACAGGAAAAAATAAAATGAATTTGATTTAAAACCAGGTAAAATATTCTCAATGACGAGCTTTTAATGTTTTTCTTGGGACTTTCTTCAAGCTATTGCGATAACTTTGGAGCATTATAAGCCGATTTTATGTATCGTAACAATGCTATACAATTATTATATTTAACTAATAATTGTTACGTGAAAGTTGTTGTTTCAGGCTTAGACGTGATTTGACAATATTGTGAATACACTTACAGTCTTTTCCAACAATAATTCCAAATAAACAGTTAAACTAATTAATTATATTTATCATAAGACATTAGTATTAAGCCGATTATATTCTAACACCATATTCTTTATCTAATTTCTTAGAGATTTTCAAGAATTAGAATTGTGTATAATAATAGTAGATCAACCAATTTTGATTCGTCATATTCATTGCCGATGACACTTTTCTCTTAGTCCGAGCTCATCGGACAGGCTGGAACACAACAGACAAGGTAGTGGTAGGAATACTATTTTTACAATATGTTTCAGGTACGTAAGATAAAAAACAGTTTTAAACTTAGCATACAGAGAGTCATTTACAGATTATGGAAACGCACGTAGGTAAGCTACCGGCTCCCTGAGAATCTTGGAATGTTCCTAGAACTTTCGTCACACGATAGAGAGCCATCTACCTCACATATTTGAAAGTAAAACACGTTGTCCTAGCTTGTTAAATGCCTCCAAAAGTTGATCATTAGCTAGAGGTATGTATGTGACCATTCTTTATCTAAGAGAAACATTCATGTATCGAGATTGTTAAATTATGGAGAGCCAAAAGAAACAACATTTCAAAGAAGAGAGTATTTCATGTCCTTTTATAGAAGAATAATAAAAAAATTACATAACAGAGCGTTCAGGTGCAGCAACAAGATACGAAACTACATCCTAACTCAGTTAGGACCAATGGCTACGAAAAAAAAACGCTCCAGCTCGAAACGGTCATTGCAATGATTTTTCTTCCCAAATCGTTAACAAGATTTTGAAGTTGACGAAGGTTCGCATTCCGAAAGTTTAATGGCCTCTAGTTACATCTCGAAGTTTACGGTTGTTTTTGTGAAGAAGATGGTCAAACAAAACTGGAGTTACAACAATCATATACTCGTCAAGTTCCTATAAGTAACTCTTCTGAACTTCTGTGTCTTCGGTCTGCTTAAGTGTGCGCTAGGGATATGCAGACTTAAGACAATAGCCACTTTTTGGAAAGCTACAAAATAGGAGGAAGAAAAGGGGGAAGAGGGCCATTGACATGAACTTTCTCCAAAGAAATCTGATATCAAGGAAACATCGCTGTAGGGCTGGGTGTTGAGAAAAATGAAAAGCATTGTTTCCAGCATAGTCGCTGGAGAAAATGCAGTCATCAATAATACCTTAAAGGGATTTATTTGTTTGTCGAATTTCGTGCAAAGCTACTGGAGGGCTATTTGCGCTAGCCGTTAATAATTTTGAATTATAGACTAGAAGAAAGACAGCTGGTCAACACCACCCACGCTAATTCTTAGGATACTCTTCACCAACGAGAAATGGAACTGACCCTCACACTATAACACTCTCACGGCTGAAATAGTGAACATATTTGGTGAGTGGACTCGAACCCGCGACCCGCAGAATGCGTGTCGACCGCCCTAACGAGAATAACACTATGTACAAAATAGCTTCATTTCCCTTAGCTGCATGTCTGTTCGAATAATAACAATAATATATAGTAAGAGTTTTCTTTTTTTTACGACATTACTCTTAACTTCTGATTCGAAATGGCCAAATTAAGATGAATGTGTGGGGAAAAAATCCGCAGTTTACGTGACTTTTATCATAAATTTTAGGCCTATTCCTTCTAACGTTTCTCTTTCGCCTTTTAAACCGTAACTTCTACTAAGAGTGTTATTGCTACTTCCATAAGTACGTATGTAAATGGTAAAACAGAAGCACTGTATCAATAATTAAATATTACGAAACTTTTTGCAAATCTTAAAAAATGGGGTTGTTGTTTGTTTTGAATTCGTTTTAAAAATTCATTAATTAATGACATAGTATATTTATCTCATGGGAGTATTGTTTTAGGGTTAGCGTCAAGAAGCAGGGGAAACAGATAGAACATGATCCCTGGAGAACAGACAGAAGAGCCTTTTGTGTTTCTTAGTGATAGGTAAAGAAACCTAAACCTGTGCTTCTCTTGCTACACTCTGTTTGTTAAGGCAAGCTTCCCTTTTGTTGTACTTTGTTTGTTGGGGGTGGTGCCTCCTTTGTTGTACATAATTCCCAAATAATAAATCTGTCGCATGTGATGGCTAAACATTCTTCTTGACAGGTAATAAAATTATAATTCAAAACTTACTTGTCAAAAGTCACCTAACATTGTACCATCTAGAATACTGGGGCACTTAACTAATTCAGTTCTCGATGACATTGTACCATCTAGAATACTGGGGCACTTAACTAATTCAGTTCTCGATGACACTGTACCATCTAGAATACTGGGGCACTTAACTAATTCAGTTCTCGATGACACTGTACCATCTAGAATACTGGGGCACTTAACTAATTCAGTTCTCGAATACTCTAACATCTTGTTTTGATTTCTACGTTTGCTTATGATCTACCATTATCTCTGATATTTTACCGCAAGATAAGTCACATTAGATATAAACCTCTTAACCTTATTACTTTTTTTTTACCGAATAAGTTACTGAAACGTCCAAAACGCAAGATTATTGTTTTTGTGTCTTTTGGTCATGTTATGGTCGAAGTAGTTTCGTAAAGATGCCCTCTATCGGATGAAACACTGAAATTGCTGTGATTCCTTTTCTAGTACCTGTTGGCTAAGGCGATCGACTAGCAATCTGAGGGTCGCGGACTCGAATCCCCGTCAACGAAAATGTTCGCCCTTTCAGCGTTGGGGCGTTATAATGTGACGGTAAATCCCACTATTTATTGGTAAAAAAGAGTGGTTCAAGAGTTGGTGGTGCTGACTAGCTACCTTCCCTCTTGTCTACCACTGCTAAATTAAGAACGGCTAGCGCAGATAACCCTCATATAGCTTTGCACGAAATTCAAACCAAACCGATCCTTTTTAGTTAATAACTCAGTATTAAATGTTTTGCTGAAGACACCTTTAGCATCAATACGTATTATTGTTAACTTCAAGGTCCTAAAACTCATTGTTTGGTTGTTTGTATCAGAATTTCGCACAAAGCTTCACGTGTACAAGAACTATTCCCTCATACCCATCTCTAATTTTGAGCTGATAACCTAGAGAAAATTCAGCTATTTAACAATACCCATCGCCAACTCTTGAGTTACTCTTGTCTGGTCAAATAGTGTGATATGGTTGCCATACTAAAATTGTACTCATGAATCAAAATTGCGGACGTGTTTTTTTTTGTTTTTTTACAGTATCGAGTCGCAAGTAATGATCATCGGATTCACAGCCCAGGCACGCTCCCGTCCCCTCAACTTACTATCAGACATTTTGTATTGGTTATTTTGAACAATGATATCAACACAGCTTTCCACTGAACAAATAATCAGTGTCCTTTGCACTCTAGCATGCATACGTTGCTTATGTTATCTATGATTTCTAACTTCGTTAGTGTAGTGAAAACGCTATAATTGTTCTACCATTACTTGAAAAATACTGAACCTCAAGCCACATCCACGTTTCAAAGGTACATAGACAACTAGGGATAGTTTAGTAGCTGTGTGGCTTTTAATGGTTTCTTTATCAAACCATATGCTTCATTTGTAACTCAACAAGATGCATTTTGGGTAGAGCACTGATGCTTTAGATTGAGGTCAGAAAATTTACTCGATAGTAATCCCAGCGTTTCGTTATTATTAATGTGTTTTCTCAATTGTTAATTGAGATATTATAAGACTATTTTGAAATCGCAGTAAGAATATTCTAATATATATTTGTATTGTTGTGCAGAGAAGTAAAGCTTCAAGTTTTGCGGTCAATATATAACGTTTCCGAGATGGGATTACCCTGTATAATTCACAAAACTAGAATATTTCTACTATTTTTAGTACTTATTATTTCTGCTATGCTTTGGTCGTTATTAACCCACATCAGTTTTCATAGACGTCCCTCTAATTTCCACTTTCGACAACCCGTTGATCTGGTTCAGTCTCCAAAGGAACGAGATTGCTCAACTGGTGAATCTTGTCAAGGATCGGGAACAGCTATGAAAACAGTTTTGTTGTGGACGACGTTCTTCTCTGAAAAAAATTATCTTCCTTCCACAGATAAGATGCAGTGTGCGGAACGCAGATGCTTGTTAACATCGGATCGTCGAGTTCTGAATCAGAGTGATGCACTGGTGTTTCACTGGGCAGATCACCTGTTCAACGATATTCCAACTACTCGGCTATCACATCAACGATGGATTTTATTCGTCCTGGAATCCCCACACAACACTGGATCCTTGAGTCACTTTAACAGACTGATAAACTGGACCGCTACTTACCGGCTGGATTCGGATATAGTAACTCCTTATGGTCATGTTCAAAAAACTATTAATCGTAGCGCTACCTTGGAACCTGTGCCTCGTGACCACGCTTCGAATAAAACTAAAATGGTGGTCTGGTTTGTGAGCAATTGTGAAACTGTTAGTAATAGAGAAGGCTATGTCAGCGAATTAAAGCAACACGTGGCCGTGGACATATACGGATTATGTGGACGTGAAAGTTGCAAACCGAGGATGTCTAAAGCCTGTTATAATGATGTAGCCAAAGAATATCGGTTTTATTTGTCTTTTGAAAATTCTATTTGTCAAGACTACGTAACAGAGAAATTTTTTCACATCTTACAAACAGATATGGTCCCGGTGGTATTTGGTGGCGGGAACTACAGTACTCTTGCTCCACCTAAATCCTTTATTAATGCATTGGAATTTGCGTCACCTAAACATTTGGCTGATTACTTGATATATTTATCAAGGAACGCTACTGATTATAACAGTTATTTTTGGTGGAAACAGACACATGCCATGGGTGGCTATCATTGGGTGTGTGAATTATGCCGGAAACTGCACGATCCGACAGAAGGGCCCTCTAGCTACAAAGACATTGATAAGTGGTGGAAAACGCAAGCCAGTTGTAAAAGTTGGAACAAAGCCAAAGGTCTTCTGTCTGTTTGATTTTGCTTATAATAATATAAAAAAATGGTTCAGGTAAAAAGTACAAACTTTTAAGAAAGCATGATTGATCTTAGGATAACTATACGTCATTGGGTATTTATATAGTGTATCTTTAAAACCATCTTGAAGAACTCCATACAGCGTTAATTGTTCAAAAGAAGTACTCAATAACTGTATATATATATTTATATAACGTAGTTTATTTTTATGCGTCCCTCAAAAAATATAGTTCAATATTTATTTAAACTTTCTAGCTTATCAACTTCGTGAATATATTTTCTCTAAGTTAAAAAAACGCAGTCATGCTGTCTTCTATAGTTTCAACTTCTATTTAGATTAAATATTCCAAAAAGAAAAAAAATAGATATTGATACTTTAGTTTTCGATAAGGTTTAACTATTTCACTTTCATGAGTTTTTCAAAGCATTTACTGTTTGCGTTGTTTTTTTTTTATTGCGTATAAAATGGCGAAGCAAATGAAAAAAAAAAACAGATTTCAAATGCTTGTTTGTTTTGGATTTCGCGCAAAGCTACACGAAGACTAT